AGTTACAATTCAATTCAATTCAACAATTTAAACAATGCCTTCAACCTGTGTGGGACTCTTAGTTGCCCTGGCGCTGGCGTGTTCGTCTCCAGTGCCAAAGATGATTTCCACGGAGAAATGAGTGGCGATGTTTTTTAATCTTCCAGCACACACTGACGTGGTAATACACAACGCAGTTTATAACACTATATGCGATGACCAACAAAATCAAGTACAAAAAGTGTGATGGCGCCCTTCTTACAGCACCATAACATACACCTCAACCAAACAACCCAGGACTCGCGTGCTCGCAATAAATAGATGATATTCGTTGCTAGCCATTATGTCAAGTGTAGCAAAAAGCTCAGTTGAATACCAGTGCATTGAAAAAAATAATTTAACAAAAATGTAAATGCTTGGATTTGAACCCGCACCTGTATAGTTGATAGACCAGCGCGTTTCTACTATACAACAATATCTCACTACAAGTAGTATTGTCCAACAATATTGACCATAGGAACTCGAGAACGAGACCGCAGATTACGGCGCATATTTTCGATCGTGTAACGGTTTTTATTTGTTTGGGTCGTCAGACCAAACAAATAATGGTAGCGAAATTTCAGAGTCTAATGTTCTTAATTGCAAATGCCGAAAGTAGTCCACTTTTTTGAAGCGGTTACTTCCCTTTTGTATGTACACTAAAGCCGAAAAATTCAGGGGAGATCACTGCGTAAAGATGGTCAAAGACAGGCGCATCAATTTTCAAGCAAAGTAATTCCCGAATGGTCGAAGATTTCTAATATTGTTTTATTGTATTTTCTGATCGAAAATAACTAAATACAAAGCGGACATTCAATCTCTGACACAGAAGTTTATGACAAACCTAACAACAAGTAGTTCTCAAAACAGCTTAAAACTAGCGATTTAAAAGAAAGAAATATTTTATTTTGTTACAAGTATCCAACAAATTACAACGCATTTAAAGTTAAACAATAGCGTTGGCTTATAGAATTGTCAATAAATGCACAATCACAAATTACGCGGATGAATATGATTTTATCAATGAAAATACTATTTTTAGCCATTTAGATTACCGAATACTACACAAACCGAGTAGTGGAATATATAGATTCTACATGTCGGACTGTTTGGGCGAGAGGATTTTCGCTAAAATATTTACTTCAATTTTAAACAACAGGTTTACCCTGAACAAAATACCTCGAAATTAATAAGGATTACAAACCTGAATGCAATGGAAGTTCTAAATTTAGAATGACTTGATATTATTCAGACTTACTGTGTATAACTTGTCCGTGGTACAGTGGTAACGCGCTCGCTCAGTGAGTGAGAGGTCTCGAGTTCGAATCCCAGGAGAGGAAATTTTTTTTTTGTTAAATTCTTTTTTTAATTGTTTTTGTTAAGGAAGTAGCCTTGATTTACAAGGATAAAGTGTGGCTGTCGTAAAAAAGTACATAAATGATTTTTTGACGCAACTCTAGTTATGCAGAATTCCGTATGTGCCTTACAAAATGAATTATAATACATAAAAATAAACTTATACAGGAAAATGCATACAGATATACAGTACGATTTAGATTGCAAAGATCAGAAAATACCAAAGAACTTGAAGCCCTTTGATTCTTTATAAATATACATGCTTATAGTAAGCTTCAGGATTATTTACATCTGTGTTAAACAACAGTTAAAAGTCGTTACAAGCCCTAATTTAGAATAATATGGTTTTCTTCAGGCCGTTCACATATAAATTTAACCGTGGCTGAAGGGTTTTCGGGCTCGCTTAGGAAGCGAGAGGTCTGGAGTTCAAATCCCAGTAAAGGTAACTCATTTTTTTAAATTGTTAAAGTCAAATTAACATTGGATTGAATATCAGTGTTGCAATTAGTCTTATAGCCAATTTACTACAATTAAAACGCTGGAAAGCATTGGTGGCACTAAACATATAATCTCACAACCTGCACCTTTCTTACATTCTGAGACCCAAACAAATTCAGCGCCTTCTGTGCTTTGATTAAAAACGTTTTTGCTATATCTAAATATTATTATCCGAATATATGGCCTCAAAAATATTATCAATTGAACTCATTATGTTACTTTTAAATCAGGTCATTTTACGGTATTATAAAATATACCGTAAATTAGACTGATTTTTTTTTAAATAAGCAGATTATATTTAATTGAGATTAACTAATTAAAGACCACTCACTCGCATAATATGAAAATATATTCAAAGGCCGGACAAAGAATATGTAAAGCCTGTACGGATTCGGATTTGTGCTCCGCAATATGCGGTCCTGTTCAAGAGTTCCTATGAAAAATACTTCACTGATAGTACACGCAAATAAAAAGTTTGAAATAGTTTTAAGAGAATGGCAATGTTAAAACTAAAATAAAATTGTTGAAAATATAGGATTCGAACCTACCAGTTTACGTCTACATTCTTCAAGAGAAACCCCTTTACCAGCTGCGCTAAGAGGGATTTTTAATTTCCACCATTTTAACA